ATATAAACTATCCTTACATCATTAAACTCTTTTTTTTTTATTATTGAACCATTACTTGTTTTACAAGTTTTCAGGATTGTCAAGAAATGGCAACAAACCACCTCACTAGTGGTACTCTGAGGCTGATTCCAGGCTGACAACATTAGAATTAACCAGGTAACTTTTAAACTGGAGCTTTCTGTCTTTCACCCTGGGGATCCTGAGCAGTAGGCTTATGGGGGGTGGGGGTTGGAGAGTAGGTTAATGTGGGGTACCTGAGTGACTCAGTCAGTTGAGCATCTGACTTTGGCTCAGGTCATGATCTATCGGTTCATGAGTTCGAGCCCCACATCAGGCTTGCTGCTGTCAGCCTGTCTGCTCAGAGCCCACTTTGGAATCTCTGCCCCTCCCCAAATTGTGCTAAAATAAAATAAAATAAAAAATAAAAAGTGTTGGTCTCTCTATGTGTTCCTGTTAGAGATGAGGGACCACTGATCTTGAGTTTCCTGAGGACTGGCCTGTGCACTTTTGGAGTATCTGTGCCCCAGGCCCCAGACAGTACCTGACACATAGTGGGTGCTCACTAAATCCACACTGACCACATCATTCAACAGACTTTAATCTTGGCTACTATTTCTATAGCACAGAAACTTGAGAAGAAATTGCAGGGTACAATTTTAATTAAAAAAATCTTGATAGTTTATAGTGCCTTCTTAAGAAATCAACACATATTTCTTTTTCTTTTAAAATAAATAATTTTTATTTAAAAACAATGTAGGTTCATCATAGGAAAATTATAAAATGCAAATAGGTAAAAAGAAAGAAAAACCCTTCTATAATTCTGTCTTGGGATATAAACACTCTTCATCCAGTTCATCCAGTTCCTTTCCTCCATGGATATATATATAAAATATTATACGAAAAATACATATTGGACACATATCTAAACACAGTATTTTGTAATCTGCTTTCCCCCCCTCTTTATGGGTACCATAACCGGTGTTTTAAATCTCGGTTTGCAGTTTTCGTTTCTAGCCTGTTAATAATTAATTCCTAGTCTGTTAAATCTGCATTCAGTAAGGATCTCCTTTGATGGCTGAATTTAAATATTTCCTAAACAATTAGCAAACACATTAAAAAATAATCAGTGAAACATTTTGTTTGGCATGGTGTAGAGTGAAAGTTTTCATACTTTTGTCAGTACTTAAAGAACTGATAAAATATTTTTTTGGGACCAGTATGGAATTGACTTGAGTAACAGCATTTAAATAACCTAACTATCATCTACTATTGTATCACCAAAGGAGTGCAATGTCAATATAAAAAAATTAAATACTGGGGCACATGGGTGGTTTATTCGGTTGAGCAACGGACTTTGGCTCAGGTCATGATCTCATGGTTCTTGGGTTCAAGCCCTGTGTTGGGCTCTGTGCTGACAGCTCAGAGCCTGGAGTCTGCTTCAGCTTCTTTGTTTCCCTCTTTGCCCCTCCCCTTGCTCACACTCTCCCTCTGTCTCTCAAAAATGAATAAATGTTAAAAAATTAAAATGAATTGAGAGTAAAGGCATTTAAATAACCTAACTACCATCTACTACTGTATTACCAAAGGAATGACATTTCATGGTAAAAAATATCAAATACTGGGTACCTGGGTGGTTCAGTTAGTTGAGTGGTGGACTTCCCCACAGGTCATGATCTTATGGTTAGTGGGTTCAACCCCGCGATGGGCTCTGTGCTCACAGGTCAGAGCCTGGAGCCTGCTTCGGATTTTGTGTCTCCCTCTCTATCTGCCTCTCCCCTGCTCATGCTCTCTCTCTGTCTATAAAAAATGAATGAACATTAAAAAAATTTTAAAAATTCAAGTGCATTTACTTTGATGAAAATTAAGACACGGTTTCTGATCAGTGTCACCCTAGAATCGTGGGCTTGTGCAGTGAGATGGCATGTAGCAATTGCAAAGGATGAGTTGAGAATATGAAGGATAAAGTTAAAAAGTTTGCTTATGTTGCCTCAGACTGGCAAAGGCATTGTCATTAACCAGCTCTGGCTCCTCTGTATCACCAAAGCAAACCCATGTTTTGCTTTCCAGCCATTTTATTTTTGCTCACCGATTTGTGGGCTCCTAGAAGGCAGAGACCATATCTAATTCATCTTTCTTTTTTTTTTTAACATTTAAAAAAGCAGCCTCCAAGCTCTGAGTGGTCAGCACAGAGCCCAATGTGGGACTCAAACTCATGAACTGTGAGATCATGACCTGAGCAGAATTTGGATGCTTAACCAACCCAGCCACCCAGGTGCCCCTCTAATTCATCTTCTAACCTCAGTGCTTAGGACCGTGTGGTTAGAGTAAATGAAACAGTGGCTGAGGGGTCCTGCTCAATAGTGGATTCCACTGAGAAAGCATCGCTTGTTTTGGGAACTGCTTTCTTTTCACCTTATCTTTTAAGTTTCCCAAAGTTGATCTTTTAATTGGTGTTCACAATTTGAACAAAAGACTTAGTTTGTAGAGTTGGGTAACAGGAAGTTTTGATTTGATTTTCAAGCTCTGGCTGAATCAGGGAAAGGCGTTTAACATGCATTATCTTTATAGCAACCTAAACCATTAAAGAAAGGAACATTTTCGAGAAAGCATGAACAAGTTGCTACTGTGCATGTCAGGTTGAAAGTGCTTTGCCAGTTTGGTCTCTGTGCTTACACACTTTAATGTCCCCTTGCTATTTTGTGTGTTTCCTCTGCCAGAGGGTCCAGCCTTTACCTGCCAAACTTCCTCCTCTTTGAAAGCCCAGCTCAAATGACCCTTCCGCCATGGAGCCTTTATTTCCTTCCCCTTCAGTGTCTCTAAACTGGCCAGAATTAGTCATTCTCCTCTTTGTTCTCCCATAATGCTTTGCTCATATCTCTATTTTAACACATCATTGTGCTTTTTGGTTAAGGGTATGTTTTAGTCCATTTAAGCTGCTATAACAATACCACAGGCTGGGTGGCTTATAAGCAGCGAACATTTATTTCTCATAGTTCTAGGAGCTGGAATTTCAAGATCAGGGTGCTAGCATGTCCAGGGAGTTTTGCAGACTTATTGTATCCTCACAGGGTGGAAGGGAACTCTCTGGGCCTCTTCCTTTCTTTCTTCCTTTTTTTTTTTAAAGTTTTTATTTTGATTCTAGTTAGTTAACATACAGTGCTATATTAGTTCCAGGTGTACAATATAGTGATTCAACCCTTCCATGCGTCACCCAGTGATCATCATGATAAGCACACTCCTTAATTCTCAGGCTTCTTTTATAAGGGCACTAATCCCATTCATAAGGGTTCTGCCCTTATGACCTCATCATCTTCCAAATGCTCTACCTCCTAGTACCATCACACTAGGGGTCAGGATTTAATATATGAATTTTGGAGGACCCAAACATTCAGTCTATAGCAGTGTATATGGGTTTATCTTGGCTGCAAGGTGGAATTCCTGAGGGTCAGGAGGGTTATTATTTATCTTTGTGTCTTCAATATCTGGTACAATACATGATATAGAGTAGGGGCTTCTGAACTTTGACCTTTTCAGGGCCCTTCCATTCAGCATCACTAGCTGTAAATACACTAGCTTTTTTTGTTTGTTTGTTTGTTCTCAGTGATTGCTGAGCTGAACCTGTAATGATACAAGCAAACTAGGGATGTTCTTCGTGAATGGGCTCTATTGGCTGGGTGGCTTCCCAGACATCTTCAGCCCATTGTTAAACCCCATGAGAAGGCCCGTGGGTGGGGTGGGATGGGACTCTTGAAGCAGATGTGGTACTCAAAGTCTCTCTCCCCCTACACTGTTACCAAGCAGAGAGGCTTGCTTCTCACCCCATTGGTCTTCTAAACCCAAATGTGTTTAATCACCTACAAGTACCACTCATTAACTGCCCCTAAAAACAATAATTAGATACCACTTTTTAATGTGAAGTGATCCATGTTACTATTGTTTCCTCCACATAGTGACTCTCCCACTGCTGGTATTGTGACAGCTAAATAAAAAGGCCAGTAATATGTGGGTTCCTGTTTTGCATGTGTGTGTGTGTGTGTGTGTGTGTGTGCGCGCGTGCGCGTGTGTGCGTGTGTGTTTTACCTTGAGGAAACAAAGACTACCCTGACGTAATGAGATACTAGGAATCTCAAAAGAGTCAAGCAGAACAATACAGATTCTTTTAAAAATGTTTTATAAAGCCACCAAGAAGGAATTATTCAGCGATAATATATGGAAGACTGGTTATTGTTAGAACTTGTAATACTTGTAATCCATGGGGAAGGGCGGGGCTTGGGGAGAGAAGCCAAGCTGTTCATGGTAACCCGTGAAGGGCTGGTGACCACACATGCACATGCATTGTAGAATTAACACTGTCTTCCAAGGAGAGACATTTTACAAAAGCAAGATTGCTGATAGGAATTGGCCAATGCACCTTTTCAAGAAAGCTCTCTAGTATTAAACCAAAAATTCTAAAAGAAGCAAACCTCTTTATTAAAAAAGTGCTCTCACGGCACTTGGGACTCTGGATTTTGGCTCAGGTCATGATCTTGCAGTTTGTGAGTTCGAGCCCTATGTCTGGCTCTGTGCTGACAGCATGGAGCCTGCTTGGGATTCTCTCTCTCCCTGTCTCTGCCCCTCCCCTGCTAGTGCTCACACTTTGTCTCTTTCAAAATAAATAAATAAACTTAAAAAGTGTTCTGCAAGTACAGCTCTGTACAATATGAGTTTCAGAGTCCTCACTGAAAACCTGCTTGCCCTAATTTCCCCAGAATTTCTCCATTTCCTGGTTGGAAAGTTTGGAATATGTCAGCACCCAATTCTAACTCACTGGCCTGAGGAGTATGCCCCTCCTCCTCAAGGTTCCTGCCTGTGATCTAAGGGGAAGACCCTCCTAACCTCCATAGAATGCTTAGGTGACAAAACTGACATCTCACTATCTGATTGGCTTGATGCCCAGGAGCACCCTGGGAAAGAATTTAAGTGTTCTCGGCAGTTGAGATTCAGATCCTGACAGTTGTAACTGATGGACTAGGCTGGGCACTGCTGATGAACCTTCCATTCCTGAGAGAAAAATCATCTAAAGTAAGGCATTTTGCATCATAGACTAGACTCAGCAGCAGGGCTTGTCACTGGAAAGATGTGGTATTTCCAAGGACAATTATTTTTTTTGTTGTTGTTTAATGTAGGCATCAGTTTTTTAAATTAATTTTTAAAAAATTTACATCCAAGTTAGTTAGCATATAGTACAACAATGATTTTAGGAGTAGATTCCTTAATGCCCTTTATCCATTTAGCCCATCGCCCCTCCCACAACCCCTCCAGCAACCCTCTGTTTGTTCTCTATATTTAAGAGTCTCTTATGTTTTGTCTCCCTCCCTGTTTTTATATTATTTTTGCTTCTCTTCCCTTATGTTCATCTGTTTTGTATCTTAAAGTCTTCATAGGAGTGAAGTCATATGATATTTGTCTTTCTCTGACTGATTAATTTCACTTAGCATAATACCCTCTAGTTCCATCCACATGGTTACAAATGGCAAAATTTCATTCTTTTTGACTGCTGAGTAATACTCCATTGTATATATAAACCACATCTTCTTTATCCATTCATCCATCAATGGACATTTGGGTTCTTTCCATACTTTGGCTATTGTTGATAGAGCTGCTATAAACATTGGGGTGCTTGTGTCCCTTTGAAACAGCACACCTGTATCCACCAAGGATAAGCATTTAAACCCATCTGGACACCATACCTGAGAGAGCTCTGTGCCTTGTGAATGAGAGGAATTTTAAATAAAATTGAAGAACAAAACAAAACAAATATCGTTTGGGGTTCCAGCCACCTGAAAGAGCTGGGCACTAGAAGGGACAATGTTTCCGTGTTGGATGGAGAGAGGTGTTAGGAATGGAGATTAGGTGGCAGATGATGAAGAAATAAAGGCAGGGGTGAGAACAGATAATGCAAGGTCACTGGAGGTCAGGAGTGGGTTAGTACTCCCTCATGGGGCTTTGAGTTGGTACCAATCTTCACATTATAAGCCACTGCTCTGAGTGCCGTGGAAATTTTCTGGAATTAAGAGGAAGTTCTTAATTTTCATGAGAGAATAAACTATGTGAAAGGATGGGACATAATGACCAACATCATAGGGCAGTGACATTATAAAATAGTACCAATAGTAACAGCACTATTGATCCAAAGGAAGAAGGGATTTCTGGGAAGTCATTTAGAAGGGGATTAGAGAAATCTGTATAGAAAACCAGAGACAACATTTAGGTAGTTGGAGGGAGAAACACGGCGGGGAGTGGGGGCAAGAAACTGTCCTAGGAGCTGAGATGTACCTTGATTCTCTGAGCGATCTGGGGTGCCTTCAATATCCCATCTATTATAAGCATTGTGCTTACTGTGGGTTTTTTAGTGTCTTCTTCAGCTTTCTAGAAGTCATTATGAGGGGCCCTGACTAACTGAGGAGACTCATACAGAAACCCCGGTCCCCATCACAGCTACCTGGTTACCGTGTTCCTCCAAGATGGCCACCCCTTGGAAGGATTATCGTGGGCTTCAAAGAAGAAAGAAAACCAAAAGGCCATCAACAAATTGAAAATTGAAATTGAGGCAAGTCTAATGATTTAGGGTAAGAGTTGTATGTAGTATGAAGTTATATCCTTAAACGGAATAAGCTATACCCGAAGTTGTGAGACAGTAGGTAGTTAATGGATTTTGTCAATGTGGCTATTTTTATAATTCCTGCGAGTGCACATTTTATAACCTGAGATGAATACCTTTACCCTGGTCTGCTTTTGGCTCTATCTTGGTATAAGAGACTCCTATAAGATGGAAGATGCGTACTAATTACAAGATTAAGAGAATTTTCAGATAGGTGCTTTTCCCTGACCTGGTCCTGCTGGAAAATGAGGATCGGTACAACTTGCATTAGAGAATTAATATTCTAGGCTGGCTAGTTCTACTTTTCTGCTCAACCCAGGAGAAAGGAGAATGAAGTGAAAATAAGATAATTTTCTCTCAATGCCATCATTGCACTTTGTCCAAGTCTAGCAAGCGCCATGTGAGAAGTAAGGGGTCAGGTATATGGCTTTTCCCAGGCAGCCTGCCTAGGTGACCACACTGTGCTGCGCTGGAAGTTTTTCTCCTTGAATGCTCCAGGCCGGCTCTCAGTGCAACATGAACTCACCGATTCTTTGCCAACCCCCCAGTATCCTTGAAGTGGCAGGTGCTTAAAAGTCTACCTCCTATTTCAAACCCCTGGCTTGCAACAGCACCCCCTTCTTGGCTATGCTTCTGAATCTGGAGTTTTAGCAACCAGATATCAGACACTTGGCAGGTGAGAATTTTTGAGTTTTGCCTTCATGTTTGGACCAAGATGTCATATTTGAAAGGAAAAGTGATTCTTTGGTATTATTTTTTGAAAAACAGCATTGCCACCATCCCAACTCTGCCAGTCCTGACGAAAGATTAGTCCCACACAGGCTTCTGGGGTTTTCATCCACAGGTTTATCAAATATACTGCCAATATTAAACTTTAAGTTATGTTAATTTATTTCATATTCTGCTTTAGGATAGTTTAATCCATCCTATCTCTCTTCCTTCCTCCCTCACTCCCTCCCTCTGTCCTTTCCTCACCTCACTCTTTTTCTTTTCTTTCTTTCTTTCTTTCTTTCTTTCTTTCTTTCTTTCTTTCTTTCTTTCTTTCTTTCTTTCTTATTTAATGTTTTAATTTATTTTTGAGAGAGAGAGAGAGAGAGAGAGAGAGAGAGACAGCGTGAGCAGGGGAGGGTCAGAGAGAGAGGGAGATACAGAATCTGAAACAGGCTCCAGGCTCTGAGCTGGCAGTCAGCACAGAGCCCGACGCGGGGCTCAAACCCACGAACCATGAGATCATGACCTGAGCTGAAGTCAGACGCTAAACCGACTGAGCCACCCAGGCGCCCCTTTTCTTTTTTTTACAGCCCACAGAAACCTCAGACTACATTGTCCTGTGATCACCTAGCCTGAGAGGTACGTCCTTATGAGGCCAAGGCTTTCAGAGGTATGTATGGCCTATGACACGGACCACCAGGTGAATATCATTGAATGGGCCCTGACCCATTTCAGGTGGCCACTACACAAACAGTAGGTATTAGGAGGATCTTTGCTTTTCTGTTCCAGCTTCTCCATGTACATAATTCCCCTCCACCCCCCCCACTTTATACCTATTCAGCCTTTTATACCCATTGCTTGAAGGTCAGATGCAAAACCCCAGGGGCAGAGATGAATTTTCCCTTCTATGCTTTCTTCCTTCCCCCAAGGAGGCCATTAAGAGCTAAATGAGAACTGTGTCCTGGGAATAAACTTGGACTCTGAAATATCATGGGGCTCAAGTAGTTTGAGAAGGGTGACTACTGATTTATCTGGAAATCTTTTACCCTCAAGGCTTAGGAGATGGGCTGAGTGAAATGTGCATCTGCCAGTGCATGGAGCCTACAGCTACAAGCTTCAAGCTTGTCCACTGTTTTGGGGGGACGGGTTGTTTTTAAAATGTTAAGTGAAACAGACAGTTTAACATGCAGTAATGAGTTCACTTACGTACAGAGGAATGTGTAGAGATAAAAGATCTGAAGTAAACTGAGGTATTTATAGCTACATGTGAGATTATAGCTGATAGCTTCCTTCTTTGGTTTTTTGTACTTCCCAACCCACAAAGAGCATGTGTTATTCTTATCAATGGAGGGTTAAGAAAAACCTTTAAGAGGAAATGATGTAGGGGGTAGGAATTGTGCTTTTTCATTTCACTGCTATGGTTAATGTCTTCTGCAGAGGAAACCTGGCTTGGCACCTGGGCTGTGACGTACTAAGGAGGCAACCTGGGATCTCCTTTAGTGCTCCTTGGGCAGCAGACACAAGCGATGTCTTGGGGACCTGGAAAGGGTCCCAGGATAACTCTCCATAATGAAGTCCTTAGCTAGGGAGGCCTGTGGACTTGTCATGATAATCAAGTTATGCTACCAGCTTGCTAATTTCAATAATAGATCCATAAAGTGTTAGACCTAGAAGAATCTTGAAGAATCATCTACTACATTTTCTCAGTTTTGTGGCAAAACTGGAATGACAGTTTGATAGGAATAGTATCTTGTAGTAAGCATCCACTGTGCACCAGGACTGGTACTGGGGACTTTATGTAGATTAACCTTTAATTGTACTATGAAGGTAGGTTATGCAATACCCTATCTTATAGAGGAAGTTGAGGCATAGAGATTAAGAAGCTCTCTATGCCTCAACTTCTTCATCTGTAAAGTAACTTCTTTCAAATCATCCAACTAGAGTCCATGGTGGGCTAACCTGTTTGGTTCCAAAATGGGCTCGTATGCATAGTTCTGCCTTATTTTCCACATGGGCTACCTGGTTCCCAGTCTTACAGCTTTAGCTCTTGTTGCGACATTTAAATCCCCAGCCTGTTTTAGCCTGCATTAGATGAGCAGATCTATCCCCAAATTACCCTACTCTTGTTGGGGTCGTCTGGTGCCATGAAGGAGCCTGCTTCCAAATTCATAGGCAAATGCACTATGGCAGCAGGCGTTCAGCCTGAGCTCAGATGCACTTTCACTTGCTCACCCACTTCCTTTTGTTTGTGAGTGTTCCCATGTATATAAGCTGTGGGAATGCCCAGCCGGAGTGAGGGTGTGGTGGCCAGGAGATTTTCACCAGAGCCTGAGCTGTAGGAGGGGAGCTGGGAAGAGAGCCTCAGGGCTGTCGCACCCTAAGTCCTCTGCTGGCCATAGTTCAGGCTGTCTCTTTCTGACCCTTCTGCCCCCCCCCCCAACTTTCCCTCCCCCCTGTTGGAAGGTTGGGCTGACTTCGTCTTTGGGGAAGAGAGAACTGAGGGCTTTCTGAGGTAAAGGTCGAGGGGAAGTAGGGCAGAGAGGTATCTTCTCTTTCAGAGAAACATAAAGACTTAAATCATATTCTCTATGTTTCAGCTGTGCCAGAGGCATTCTGGTTAATCACATATTCTGAACAAGGGTGATGGTGTGTGCTATCCGTAGCTGAATACCTTTCCAGGGATTATAACACAATAAAGTATGCGTAAAACCCAAACTACACTAAATATAATTAAATCTTTCTTTGATGATTCATAAGTCCTTTAGGATCCTGCAGTGCCTCAGGGTCACCATTATGTATATATCATCATCCTTGAGGAGGCAGGCAGCTGCATAAAAAACCAGATTTTAAGTTATAGGCCTCACTCCCACTCTGCCTACCTGGGTGGTCTTGGGCACTTCTTGACCTCTTGAGCTTCAGACTCCTGTCCAAAGTAGGGTGGCAACATTACATCATAGGGCTGTCAGAGGAGAAAACTATGTGTATAAAGACTGGTATTGTAATTATTATCATTACTAGTAAGTTACCAGGATATCAAAATGCTGGCTGACAGACAATTCTATTATATGTTTTTTTCCAACACGATTCACAGTAATTTAGTCTCCTTTTAAGGAAAACATGGTTTTATCAGAAGCCAGGTATTGCTGAGAAGTGATATTTAGTCAAGGGCTAGCATTTAAACTGTGTTTTTACATGGCAAAAGTGGTACATGTATTGTGAAAAAATCAGAATATTACAGAAGAGCATGTTAAAAAAATAAAAGTCCACTTCTGCTTCATTGTCTTAAATCTTCCCTAGAAGGAAGCTTAATGTAGTCTAGTATATACGTGCATTTGTGTGTATTAGATGTAAATTATACTATTCGTTCCTATGTCCCTATGACTTTGCTTTCTTTTTCCCCCCCTCTTAACAGCATTTTTTGGGGATCTTTTTATTCTTTTTTTATAGCTACATCTGCATGATCTTTCATAATATGGGTGTTTTATCTTGTTTAACCATTGCTCTGTTGATAAACATTAGTTATTTCTAGGTTTTTTTTCTTTTTCTAAAAAATGTTTTTTAGTGTTTATTCATTTTTGAGAGATGGAGAGAGACAGAACATGAGTGGGGAGAGGCAGAGAGAGAGGGAGACAGAGAATCCAAAGCAGGCTCCAGGCTCTGAGCTGTCAGCACAGAGCCTGACAAGGAACTCGAATCCAGAGACCGCAAAATCATGACCTGAGCCGAAATGGAATGCTTAACTGACTGAGCCACCCAGACGCCCCTATTTCTATAGTAAACACTGCTGGATTGAGTGCAGAATGACACTTAACGTACCAACTCAGTTGTAGCCACTGAGTAATTTATTGCCACCTAGGGTCACTTCAACCCAAACATTCTTGGTCTACCTGCCTTCCAAAGGGGATAGCCTCAAATGTGAACAAAGTAAGTGACTAACAGCTTGGTGATTTGTAATACATTTGTACACATGTGCCATTATCACCACAACCCAGCCTTAGAGCATTCTATTACCCCCCCAAAGTTCCCTTCTCTACCTCTTTGATTTGAATTGCCATACCTACCCCAGCTCTAGGCAACAACTGATGATGATTTTTATCTCTGAAGTTTTGCCTCACCTAGAAATCTCACATAACTGGAACCACAATATATAGTTCTTTGTGTCTGGCTTCTTAAAATATTTTTTGAGTTTTGGCCATGTTGTTGGATGAATCAATTACTGCTGAGTAGTGTTCCAATACATAGATACACATTTTATTTATTCATTTGTATTGTTTTCAGTGTAGGACTATTTTCAGTTTTAGTCTATAATGATGCAATGCATATAATGATACTATGAACTTTTGTGTACAAGTTTTTGCATATATTTTTATTTCTCTTGGGTAAATACCTATGAGTGGAATTACTGGGTTTTATGATAAGTATACGTTTAATTTTTTTTAAAGACTAACTTATTTTCTAAAATGGTTGTTTCATTTTATACTCCTACCAGCAATGTATGAGGGTTCCAGTTTCTTCACAACCTCACTAACACTTTGTATTGTTAGCTTTTTTAATTGTAATTATTCTACTCGTCTTCTAGTGGTATCCCATTTTCATTTTTGTTTCCATTTTCCTATTAACTAATGATTTTGGCCACCTTTTTATGTGTTTATTAGCCAGTCATATATATTATATGATAAAGTGCTTAATCAAATCTTGTGTTCATTTTTTACTGGACGTTTTGCCTTATATTATTGTAAGAGCTCTTTATATATTCTGAATACAAACCATATATATGTATTTATACATATGATTTATATATAGGCATATGATTTATAAATATTTTTTCTTTTTTTATAAATATGTTTTCATGTTTATTCATTTTTGAGAGAAAGAGAGAGAGAGGGAGAGAGAAAAGACAGAGAGAGGGGAAGAGAGAAAGGGACATATAGAATCTGAAGCAGGCTCCAGGCTCTGAGCTGTTAGCACTGAGCCTGACAGGGGGCTCAAACTCACAAGCTGCAAGATCATGACCTGAGCTGAAGTCAGCCACTTAACCAACTGAGCCACCCAGGCACACCTATAAATATTTTTCCCTTAATCCCTGGCTTATCTTTTCATTTTATTATTTAGTTTTGATGAGTCTAAGTTTTTAAATTTTTTCTATTATGGATGATGCTTTGGGTATCATATCTAAGAAATCTTTGCTTACTTCAAGCTCACAAAGATTTTCTCTTTTGTTTTCTTCTAGAAATTTTATAAAAAGTTATTTCAAAGACTAGATGAAAATGTTTCTATTGGCCTTTTCTTGAGTGAAATCGATGGGTCACGTAGTTAAACCTACAGAGCAGCCTTTGCTACTTTTACACAGTAGTTTTTACAGTTTGGCTCTATTGTATATGTACAGAATCAACTACCCCCACCTTTATTACTGACTCCTTAAAATATTTCCCAAAAGAAAATGTAAGAGCATATTCATTCAGCAGGATCAGGAAACTGTATTTATTTTCTATATCATGAATATAATATTGTCTGTGTTACATCATTTAACAAATGTAGGGCAATCTCTCTCAGTACCAAAGCAGTAAAGTCATTTCCTATTACTAGCTGTTTTGATATGGCGTATTTCCACTTACTTCTCTTTATTCCTTGAAACTCATTTTATTTCTCTGGTAATGAGACTATTATTTG